TGCTGAATTCATCTGGACTTGTTCCAGTAGTAGAAAAGTCTGGTTTTTTGCTTAGTAAGGTCAGTATGGTCCATATCCAGGTATAGCAGTGCTTCTGAGAGGACGTATTGTCATCTAAACTCATCAAACTGAGCTGTTGTCAGTCAATGACTGGAATTCAGAGGAATTTTCTTAGTATAACTTGTCTGAAATACAGACTGAAAACAAGTGTGACTTTCAGGCTGCATTTTTCCTTTTAAGAGAAAAGTGCAAACATGAAACAACGTTAAATAGTTCAAAAGGCAATGTAGTAGGTTGAAAATGTACACGTAGCTTGGAGCTATTTTCATGTTCTCGTACTCCCTCTTGAGTAGAAAGGCAGCAATGGTTCTTTTTAAGCCATGATACCCAAAACAGAAATGTTTTTGTTGGGTTTTTTTGTTCTCATCCATCTCCTTTTTCAAAACACTTGTAACATAGCATTTGTTATATTTCTCCGCTACACCTCTGTAATTACTCATGCTCATTTCACTTAGATAACCTTTCTGGGGAAAACAATTTAAGTGACTTAATTTTTAATTGCATTTGCAGACTTCTTTGACAGCAGAATGGATTCTGTTACTGACGTGAGAGAGTTTTTCATGTAGGTTGTGAGTTAACCTTGGTAGGCAGCGAAGCACCACACAGCCACGTGCTGGCTTCCCCCCTGCCAGTGGAATGGGGGAGAGAATGGGAAAGGTGAAGGTGAGAAAACTTGTGGCTTGAAATAATGACAATTTAATAAGTTTTTTTAAAAAAAGAAAAGCAAAACTAAGAAAAACAAGTGATTAAATTAAAATAATTGCTCACCACTAGCTGACCCATGCCCAGCCAGTCCCCTGAGCAGTGACAGCCTGGGCACAATTCCCTGTCAGCTTTTATTGCTAAGCTGTGGCATGGGATGTCCCTTTGGTCAGCTGTCCCAGCTCTGTCCCTCCCAACTGCTTGTCCACCCCCAAGCCAACTCGCTGGCAGGGTAGCAGGAGAACCAGAAAAGGCTTTGACACTCTGCAAGCACTGTTCAGCAACAGCTACAACATCTGTGTGCTGCCATCACTGCGTTCAGCACCAGTCCAAAACATGACACTCTACGTGCTATTCTGGAGAAAATTAACTCTATCCCAGTCAAAACCATTACAGTTTTTTATTTCTTTTTTATGAATTCCAGGAAGGATGGGCTTAATCTCTAATGGAAGTTCAGTCAGCGTGCTTTTACACTGGCAAAACCTGAGTGCATGTCTTCAACTAGGGATTTTGATAAAAGTTTTAAGAAAATTGCCATGCTTCACGTTCTGATCGTTTAAGTTGCACACAGGGGTGATTCATTATGCAGGAGGATGTAATTTTCATGTGAGAATGACAAATGATGGTGATGAGTTAAAGGTAATGAGGTAACAGTGTCTTTGTTACTCCACTGTATTATTTGATGATAGTTCAGTGTATAACTAAACTGTGCTGCCATGTGAATGTGTTCTTCTTGAGCTTTCTAATTACCAAAATCAAAGTTACATTTGATTCTTAGTTGCTACTATAGACGTCTCTTGTGTTTACATCTTCCGTAATGTAGATGTCATTGTGATTTTTGGACATCAGAGCTTGTTTTGACCTTAAATCTCTGGAGGACGGTACATTCTGTCGCTGTGCAGTGACTTTCTCGTGTCTTCAGAATTGTGCAAACAGACAAAATACTCTGTCATCATAACAGATGATGTTATGTTACTCTGTCATCATAACATATAA